TCTGCAGACTGTTCACGGTTGGCAGCACACGACCCTTACATGACATCGTTGTTTGTACGTGTCTATCTGTACTTTTTGCGTGGACGCTTTCTTGCTTTCTTATAGGGTGTCAATCGGTGCCTCTCCATCAACTCAGCGTGCGTGATAGTGTTGTTCCGGTGTTGTGACAACCGATTTAACTGCAATTGCACAATGAACAGACATAACATAATTTTCGGGAGAGATTACGATAGGACTACTGCAGAATCTGCCCGTCGGGTGCACCGCAGTGTAGAAATTGCGGCAGAGAATGTGGGGGCCATGTTCAGCACGATAGTGAGGCAAAGAGACGCACTACGGGATGAGGTCGAAGATCTTCAAGGAAGGATGAACGTGATGACGGAGAGTGTTCAGCAAGAAAGAGCACGTAACACGAGGTTGCGTGACAAGTTTGGACAAGTATGCAGAGATAATATGCGGTGGCGTAAGGAAGCTCGTGTTGCAATCAACGCTACAACACACGGTCGTGGAGACGTGTGTGCCGTGCATGCAAAGGAATCTTCACAAGTCACATCACTTCATGATTCATCGAACAACAAACCGCCAGAAGTTAAGCAACTCAAGAAAGTGTCCTTCAAGGACAAGACGTCGTTGTCACACTCGTCGTTCGTTTCTACCTATAGTTTGTCTTCGGACAACAGCTTGGAGGAGGCGTTGAGCAATCTACAACTGCCCGACACCACAAACACTTCCAGCGACAGTTTGAAAACTTTGTCCGCATCGTCTTTACCTCGGTCTTCTGCAAACGATGACAACGATGCCGATAGTAGCAAGACAAAGTTGTTGCGCCGTCGAAAATGAACAGAGCGGATTGTGCGATCTAGAGATTAACCGGGGCGATTTGAAAATGTTTTCAGGCGACTGCAGTGTTGTCCCGTTTTCATCCACTAGGAAAATGATTATATGTCCTGTGTTTTTTTTTTCCCTGATTTTGTTTTGGGGGGGGGGAAGGTGGTGCTGTCGTTCGGGATTGAGGCTTTGTCTATTCGGCTGCTCCATCCACCGGGATTGAGGCTTTGTTTATTGGCCTGCTCCATCTATTGTTGGGGAGCCACTGTTGCTGGAAACCGGATGCAGAATGCTCCTAAGACAGTCATTTTTTTTTCTTTTTTTTTTTCGTTATTTGGTAAAGACCAAAAAAGTCCTTTATCAGAAGGGAGGCAATGTACCCTCAAATCTTTGTGGGTCCACCAGCTTATGCTTTGGGATAAGTGAAGAGATAATGCAGAAGCACCCTATAATGTTTGTGGGTCCTTCAGCAGGGAGGCAATGTACCTGTTGGCCCCATACTTGTGATCTAAGGGGGAATGCTGGCTGAGCGAGGTCCTATGCTGACAAACGATTGGAGAAGACTTGTTATCTGTTTGGCGCTGGGTTTTTTGAACTCAAGATACTCATTGTAAATTGGTCTTCTTGTCATTGTGTACTGCTTGACGAGGGAAACCTGTACCCATCATTTGCTGACTTAGTGATGATCTAAAGTCGGTAGGTGCTGGAGGGATTTATTTTTGGATGGTGGGGGCCTTCTGCACAAACAATGCACATACAGGTGTGGTAAGACTGTTTTGTTGGTAAGGCGCTCGTTTGCCAGGGGTGAGGCCTTGCCATGCCACCTGTTTCGTGGCTCAGTTCAGGAGTCTGAACGGGATTTTCAGAGGGTACCCCAGAGGACAAATGATGCTACACAAGTGGCAACTTGATCCACTTGGAGCAGTTTGTGCTGCATTCTACCTTTATTACAGCCTGGTGATGGTCTCGCTACTACAGGTAAAGCCAATTCTCATGTATCTCTTGCGTTGTGTTCTTGACACACTTTCATGGATATGTAGTGGTCTGCAATCCCTATTTCAGTTCTGGACTGGTGATGCTCTGCACCGGTGCAAAATCTCAGGGTTTGTTTGTAAGGCTTTTGCGTAGCTGGACAGTTTTACCATAAGAGCTGTGTCAGTCCTCTCCAGGCTCGGTTGGGGGAAGGTCGGTCGGGTACCATTCCAGGCGCCCTGGGGCGGGCAGGGCCCGGGTTGTGTCCCGGACGATCCCAGGATTCCCAACGCATAATATTTGAAAAAATAGAAAATAAAAAAGTCAAAAAAATCCGAAAAAAAAAAAATAGTTTTGTAAAATTGCAATACAACAGAGTGTTGGCAGAGGGCCAACACGAAATTCCATGTTAATTATAAGATAAAAATAAATGGGATAACCTAGGTTCAAATGTACCCTTTTGACCCATTGGGTAATTGTTTATAACCCCGACCCCCCCCCCCCCCCCCCCCCCCTCCCGGATGACCCTCCACCAAAACCGAAGTTAAGACTGGATTCTGACTACAGAGGCCAAGTGCAGTCCTTGTCTGAAGTCCTTTTTTTTTTTTTTCCTTTCGGATTGCCTCTTTTTTGACCCGTCGGGTTTTGTCGGGCGACCTCCCCTCTGCACAACTAGCCCGGGTGTGCCTGGCCAAGCGACAGCCCAACATGGCATAAGAGTAGTTTTAGGTGATGAACTGCTGAGGAATTGTGTGATGGATAAAATAATTATGAAGATGAGCAAAGGAACAAAGAAATGTGTTCTGCTAGTGGCCTGATTCACATAATGAGCAAAGGAACAAAGCAATTGTGTGATGGATCAAAGAATTCTGTAGATCCACAGTCATAGCAATTTTACCTCTATTGCAGACAATGAAGCATGCTTAAGATGAGGCAATCCAACAATGAAACAGTTTGTTGATTATGGTTATATTCGCACAAAGAGTGTAATCTTAAACCCAACATGGCATAAGAGTAGTTTTAGGTGATGAACTGGTGAGCAATTGTGTGATGGATCAAAGAATTCTGAAGATGAGCAAAGGAAGAAAGAAATGAGTTCTGCTACTAGCCAGATTCACAGAATGAGCACAGGAACAAAGCAATTGTGTGAGCCTGTTTTTGAATTCTATAGATCCACAGTCATAGCAATTTTGCCTCTATTGCAGACAATGAAGCATGTCTGAGATGAGTCAATCCACCAATGAAACAGTTTGTTGAGTGTGGTCATATTCGCACAGAGAGTGTAATCTTAAACCCTAAACCCTCGGTTGTCCAGCCATTCATATTCTTTGCAGAAACTTGTGCTAATCCTCTGCGGCGTGTTCCATCACTACTGGAAAAAACATATGCAGTTGAAAAATTTGGTTTGTATTAGGCCTTATAGGACGGTGCACTCTGGGTGGTTCCATGTACAAGGTGGTACTGTGTGGTGAAGGGGTGCATACGGGGCTATCAGATCCATTTCTCCAAGTGAAACACTTCTCAACCTCTCATCTTGCTGAAACCAGCACGTCCCCTTGTCCTCCCTCCCAACTGCCATGGTTGATCTGACCCAGAACAGTCTGGCCCAAAGAAAAACAAAACCCACAACACCGCCCTTACCCTCTCGAGGATCACACCGCCCACCTTGTACAACCCTGAAGGAGATAATTCAATCAGCACCTATGAGCCCAAGACCTACAATATCACGACTTGAAATTCGATTTTAAGGACTTTTTTGGAAATCCGTCAAATCAGTGACACCAAAATACGATTTTAGGATTAAGAGTCCTGATAAATAAAAACGAATTTCAGATTAGGTAGCCTTAGGACAGAAAAAAACCCTGGGGGTTTGGAATCATGAACAAAGATGGAAAAACGTAGGACATTCAAAATTGAATAATCTTTCATTGCCATCAGAGCAAAACTCTGATTTACGAATTTCAGACTAGGGATCTTGCTAAGAGAATACGAATATAGGATTACGAGTCTTGATAGGAAAATACGAATTCACATTAGGGATCTATTCTCGTAGGCGACAAAAGACACGAATTTCAGATTAGGTATGAGAGAAGAACCACTCTGCTTACAAATTTCTGATTGGGAAATATGAGTTGCAGATCTAGAATCCTGTTCAAAAAATACAAATTTCAGATTAGGGATCTCGCTCAGAATAAAAAAAAACGATTTCAGATTAAAATATGGGAAAATAAAATTCTCAATAGGGATCAATTTTTTTCATCCACTAGGAAAACGAAGATCTCATGATTCAAATTTTGAACAGTCATAAAAACAACCTTTGAAAAAACTTTTGATCACGTCAACATCAGAAAGCATCATCATCAGAAGAATACGGATCAGCATTGAGCAGGGATTTTATAGACTTGCGAGCACAAGGAAATTAGGACTTCAACCATCAGTTCTGACACTTAGAAAAAAACAGCGGACAGCGACCCTAGTCGTGGACTTATGAAAATTCCCCAGACGTCCACGCCCATGCACTGCGTCCTTCAGCATCCTCCCATGCAAGTCTTGTCACAAACTCTTTCGCCACATTCAACACATAGAAATGCTAGGTCGCCTCTGCTTGAACTCCACCATTCAAAAGTCGCCTTGGAAAAAACCTGCATCAAAGCAACAAACCGGTGTGGACGAAACACGTCAGTCAAGTTGTCATGCGCGTGATCCACCTTCGTACTCAGCTCCAGGTTCTTCTTCATACCCACAGGGAGGCAATGCACTTATAAGCCTGGTCCACACCGGGATCCTGTAATTTCGGGCCAGTCATGCATGAACGCTGTAGACTGCCACCAAATCAGGGTGTCACATTCGTTACAGACAGAGGCAGGTCAGTGAGAGTCGACACTCGAAAATGTTGACCACAACCTTCTGGATATTGGAGACACCATTGCACAAGTGCTTCATTGTCTGTAATGGACGGTTCAGGTATAAAGACTTCAATCATAAGGGTGGAACAGGGGCTGTTGTTGTTCAAATGTATAACTCACACACGAACACACACACACACACACACACACACACACACACACACACACACACACACACACACACAAACAAACAAACAAACACACACACGGAGTTTTAGGTGGGCAAGCACAACATTATTTACCTTGCTACATGGTCACAATGTTGAGGGTGGCAGTGCACACACACGCACACCTCGTCTACTAGCTCGTTCATTCCCAATGTGGCCGCAAGTCTCAACGTCATGCACGCACCTTTCTGCCCGAGTTATCGAGGATGTCAACACCTTCATATCGGTTGTTGGGTATTCGTTTACGTTGAGGTCATGGTTGACTCACGGGATTCATCTTGCTTGCCTCCTGCTCCGTCGTTCCCGGGTCTTCAACTTCGATCCCCTCGTTCTCGTCATCAGCCCCCCTGAGATCCACGACCTCCACCTCCACATCTTTCCCTTTTTCATTGTCGTCCTTCAACTCATCATGCACGGCCTCCTTTCCTCTTCGTCGTCGTCGTCGTCGCTGTCGGTGTCGGCAACCACCTCCTCTCCTTCTCTCTCCACAAACTCCTATTGATCCTTGTCGACCTTGTCATCGTCCGAGTCCTTCATGTTTTCCTTATCCCCCTCTTCGTCCTTTTCGTCCTGTCCATCCTTGTTGTCGTTGTCCTCGCCTTGGCCATCCCTGTCCTCGTTCAAGTCCTTAATCCGCTCCTTCTCCCCCTCGTCGTTTTTGTCATCTTCCCCCTCCTCCGCATTGTTGTCATCCTGGTTCCCGTCCATGTCCTCGCTCTCGTCCTCGCCATCCCCGTCCTCGCCATCGTCTTTGCCCACCCCTTTGTCTGTGTCGTGTTCCTCTCCATGTACGTTGTCCTCGTCGGACAACCCCTCATGCTCATGCGCTTCTGTCACATATACTTCAAAGCCCTCCACTGCGTGAGAGTTAAAGACTCCTAGATGATCATGCTCGTCCCAAAATCGCTCGTAAGTAAGCATTCGGTTTGGACGGTCACGCGCAGGCACAGCATTCGCCGACACCGCCACGTCGCCAGGACGCACTCCATCAGCTGGCCTTGGTATCCTGCATTTGCAGACATTGTGGTCGTTAAGCCTGCATTGCGAACACCTCTGCTTGTTTGCCCTTGGTTGGCTGACCCTCCTATTCTCAAGACAACTCTTGATTCGACTTCCATTAGGAGGACGCCCTTTTTGGCGCTTCGTCGCAGGAGGGAGAACGGTCTCCTCACTGTCCATGGACGTTCTTGTACTTGCGAAGCACGTCGATAAGACGACACCCTCATACGATGCTCGTAAGGCGCTCGTGGTGTAGAAGGCGTCCACGTACCACGCTATATCCTCGTTCCGTTCCGCGATGGTTGCTGCAGCATGAGTGCATGGACGGTGACTGTCCTCCCGAAAGCGACATGTGCACAAGACTTTGCCATCAAGGAACTCCACCCGCCACGATTGATGTCCTTTGTGCGCGTCTGTCTACATGATCTCATACAAATCTTGTGATGCCTTTCAGACGTCATACTTCCTCGCCAACTCCACAGTCTCTGTCAAGATCTTCTCCACAGCCGAAGGGAATCTGCCTCTCTCTGCAGCAGCCTTCTCTCCCCTCTCTGTATGCCAAGTCTGCACGATTCCCCTGTACCCCTCGAGCATTGTTATTGGAAGTTTTCCACGAACCTCCAACATCTTACTGTTCATGGACTCGGCTACGGACGATGTCACTTTACCATACCTTGGATGGACGAAATGGGGGTCTCCCCAATGCCTTTTGTCCGCTTTCTTAAATATTTGGTCGACAATGTTATTGTGCCTCGAATATCCAACGATCCTTTGCATGTAGTAGTCGAAAACCTCCTCGCAAGTTGCCCTCGCCGCTTCAAGGAGCATCGCCACCTGTTCCTTTTTCAGCCTCAAGCTCTTCAGGAAGTTCCCACTGACATGGCGGACACAGTATGCGTGCCGCTCATCCCCAAACTCCTCACTGACCGTTGGTATGAGCCCTTTGTCCCGGTCCGACATTATTGTCACGATTTTGTGGTCCATCTTCGCTACAGCGCACAAGCGCTTTAGGAGGACGAGAAACCACTTCCAATGCGTCTTCCTCTCGCCATCCACAATCGCGTACGCCAGGGGGAAACATTGGTCATTCGCATCTCGACCAGTGGCGCCAAGAAGACATCCCTCGTATTTCCCTCTGATGTGTGCCCCGTCGAGCACAATCAAAGTTCTGCAATGTGCAAACCCAGTCACAGAGGCGGCCAACGCGAAAAACATGCGAACGAAGACGTTGCCCTCGCACTCAAGGTGGATGATGGACCGTGGGTTTGTTTCATGCAACACCCTGCAGTACCTTCGCAAGTCGCTGAACCCCTCCTCCGGAGCCCCAATCAGTGTCCGACGCACATACGTCCTCGCTCGCAAACACTTGCTGTAGCTAACATGGGTCTTCACTGCCTTGTCAAACCATTTCTTCAACTTTGTGGAAGTCGTTCCGCTGTCCTCTCGCAACTTCTTCTCAACCATAAGCTCCACCCACCTCAGCTTCGCGTGTTTGTTGCGTTTCAGGCCGGGCTGGACTGATTTTCTACAACCAAGGCGATGCGGAGTAAGACGAACAATCTCCGTGTGTCCATTAGCATGTGCTGCTTTGCCTTCCAATGACCATGGGCAATCTGGGTTAGCACATATGACATAGTACCTTGTCTTGTTCGATCTCTTAAGGTAGAACTCGAAGCCAGATGCCACAGCGTAGAACACCACCGCGTCACGCAACGCATCCATAGACTCATAACGACCTCCCACGTCCAACAGTTTGAAATCCCCCGTGAGTGCTTGTTGTGTGGGAGGTGTAGTCCGCATCGCACCATCACGACTGGTCAGATCATCGCCTGATGAGAATGCCTCACGGTCAGAGGAATCATAAGCCGGTTCCTTTTTTGTATGTCTCCGTTTCCGACCACGCCTATCGTGTGCGGGGGTCCACCGGGATGACGGTCCGCTATCTGAAAGCTCTGGAGGCCGCTTGGATGTCCCTCCAACGAATGTCGCATCCCTAAAGGTCATATATATGCGCAATGAGGCTATCTCGGCGTGTTTGTCGTCGCACGTGTCACCCGGCGGTCCAATGTCACAGTCCTGGCTACCGCTCGCTGGGATATCTCCCAATGGCAAGTCCGACGCACATGGCGTGCGGCCGCCAATGATATCGATTGCTGCACTTTCTACACGTTCACACATTCCACGCGGCGTATCCAAAGGCGTTGTGATGGTGGTCCTCAATCCTTGTGATGATGTGTCACCCAACGGAAGTGAGGCGTCCACATGGATGGGAGTGCTTGTGTCGCACTCGTGCGTTTGTCGGGTAGAATCTGCAAGGGCCTCGCCACGCGACGGGGCAACGGTTGTGGACGTTCTCAGAGGTGCCCATGAAACAGGTGATCTGTGGTAATCAAACTGTGTGGATGGTGGAGTGACAACAGAATCGTGATTGAGATGGTCAAGTGAATGGGAAGGATACGTGTGATGAGGACGAAGTGATGGGGATGGACAGGGGTGATGAGGTTGGCTTGACCACATGCATCATCTCGTGCGTTCGATGAACATGATGTGCCATCGGGAGAGAAGTGGCAGGTGTGTTCGGTGTTGTGCCTGCAAAATGTGGACCCGAAGCATGCACGTAGTGTGGGTCACCATGGTTTCCCCCATAGGCATGTGCAGAGCCAGGAATGGCAAGACACATGTATGCTGGGAAGTGCAAGGGGAGCATGTGGGCTGGATGATAGGGAATGGTGGGGGTGTTAGGAATTGTCGAGAACGGAGAAGCAGCACACCGAGAATACTCCACACCCCATGGAAAGTGTGAAATTTGTGGCATCGGTGGAGTCACGGGAGTACGCATCGCATGAAAAGAGGAACGCGGACCGTGGAGAGGGTTCGAGGGACCCATGACATGCGATGAAGAAAATGCAGGTTGACTCACGGGACAAATGCACAGCCACATGCGGTTCTGGTGAGCGACACGGGTACGTGATGTACCAGCTCCCGTACTTGAACGAACTCCTGGAGCCCTGTGTTTTTCTTTGGGCACTACCGTCTTCCCCCGAACATAACGCACCCTGAAAAGGAAAGTATACAAGGTATGTTTCCGGCCAGATACAGTCAGAATGAGGGTGCGTTGTGTTCGGGGGAAGACGGTAGCAGGCTCTCTCTCTCTATATGTGTGTGTGTGTGTGTGTGTGTGTGTGTGTGTGTGTGTGTGTGTGTGTGTGTGCCTGTGCCTGTGCCCCACCTCAGGCCCGACCTGAGGTGGTTTTGCCTAGGCCCTACCAACCTTCCGTCCTGATGTGGGATGAAAATAGCCCCGGAAGGTTTTCCCTGGGCGCATAATACTGGCCTAGGTTTTTTCAGGTACCAAAAGCCAAAAAGGTTTTGGCATGGGCTCTTTTCACCAATTATTTCCCCAAAATGATTTTTGGCATCACTTACMCCCTGTAAAACATTTTCCCGCCATTTTTGCACAGAGGCTTTATCGGCCCAGCCAAGGTGCAAAAATAACAAGAAAAGTCATTTTTGGGTCTGCCACACATTTTGCCCGGTTTGGGGGGAAATGAATACAAAGGTTTCGCTGTGGGGAGGTTTTATAAATTTTCCCCTTTTTCCTTCACGAATTTTCTTTCCAAGACTCTTGCTTTTTCACACCATTCCAGAACCCGCAGAATAGCACTCTACACTAATGAATCCAACACGTAGCTTGCCTGGGTCGGCCTGACCTTCTTGGTTTATGGTGACGGGGATAAATTGTTGTACTTACCGATTGTGACACACGTGCAGGAGGGCACATGCGGAGATGGAGACAGAGAGAGAGAGGAGATGGACACACATGAGAAGCAGCAGCTGAGACAAGGTCCAGTCCGACTCAATGAACCAACGAACCATCCAAGAATGGAATGAACCAACTGAATGAATGAATGACCAACCTGGCCTAGGCCTACGCTGGAGGGATATACCGGGCTTGGTCCAGGCCGGAGTAACCAAGTACATGACTGAGGTCAGGCCGGTGTCCTGAAACGGGTCCGGCCTCACTGTCGGGCCGAAAGGGTACCGCTACATGATCATCGGACCTGTAAATGGAGCACACGATACATTTACACACTATTCGCTAAAATAGCGGTAACCCAGAGGAACGACAAAAAAACAATCATTGATGCGGATGAACCTAGAGTTACTTTGAGCCTTCTTGGAGTACATGTTGAATGTGTTGTGCTCTATACATCCATTTGAGTCTGTGTGAGTACTTCAACTGATCTTGGCTGCCAGTTCTTCTGCTGAAATTAGCCCCCACCGCGGGCGCTACGCTAGTGCCTTTTTCTGACCACTATAGTATTACAGGAACCCTGTAGCGTCCACATCTGTGTTCCCGCCCACAACAAATGTACATGCGGGGCTGTACCCACAAGCAGGTGGCCATCCCGGCCTATTGTCAGCTGGTAGCGTCAGAGACCATGGCATCTGGACCAATCTCTGCCCCACCCTTCCAGTCCCCTTGTACGAAAATCCGCAGTCTTTGCTTCATCCCAATGGGGGGGGCGGACACCATAAGGTACATAAGGTGTGTGTCATACTAGCTGAGGTAGGACTCTGGCGAGACTTCATTTCAAAGAGCACAAAGAACTAACTGTTATTGCAATCAAGTTTAGTTGATCGACAGAGAAAAGAGAGAAATTTCCAAAACAAGGGAAACCAGGGATCCATAACAGAAATTTCCACCTTTCAAAAAAAAAAAGAAAAAAAAAAAAGAAGGAAAACAGGGAAAACCAGGTGGCGGTACAGTCCGAAACAACTGTCTCTCAGACTCTCACAGCTTCTCAAGACATAAAAAAAACAATCCGAACCTAAGAAACTAAAAAACTCTAAGGTCTCCGCAAAACTCAAAGTCACCTCCCGTTTGCCACCGTACAACCAACCCCATCAAAATCCACCACGCAACGTGTCACTGGGGAATTGACGGTAAACAGAATAGTTTCTGAAATTTCGAAGTACCCAAGAAAAAATCCAAATTTCTTTCCTTCCCCATATTATAGGGATTTGAGGCCCTCCTTTCTGCACACAAGGAGTATGATCATACGCATTACAGGAGCAACGCTCAACGGTCTAATCAGATTTGAACGGGTCCGATTAAATAATTTAAATTTAGAAGCGGAAACGGAGCAAAGAATGGTCCAATCAATGGCAATCAGTCCTCGATGCAACCATCACATGATAGGGATCAGCTGCTAAGTTTCATAATTCAATCCCTATTATGGACAAATGAATTCAATTTGAAATTAATTCCACCATCCTTTCACCTAGCATGCACCCTTCTCTGCCGATGAGACCGTGGAGAAATTATCATTCCGTCGTCGGCGTGAGTATAGACTATACAGAGAGCAAGCGAATGAGGTCACAGTGTCCATTGGAGAAAGAAATTATGAAAAAGCTAATGTACGAAAGGGTATATAACCTTATATTCACACTTCCACTTTTGCAATCGAATCTTGCTGTCATACTGTCATTACACTCTAATTCGTCCGGGCTATGGTAGTCTCAGTGTTAAGACCCGGCCATTCTCCCTCACTACCGTAGTTGCTATGGGAGAGAGATTCCAACCCTCTATATTTTATTATTTTGTCATATGTCAGTTTTCAGGACTGATACCTTCAGCCACTCAGGCATCCATCCAAAGCAAAAACGCCACTTGTACCTTTCTTTCCCCTCCATAAAGCACATAGCCAGTGAAGATATGGTCCGGGCCGGGTGTTCTGGATCTACTAGAAATCAAATCGGATCTTACCACCGTCTTCACCCGAATAGAATGCCCGGTCATTATCGCCGCATCTGGACTGAAAGTTGGGCCAAATGCAGTTATAATGACCGGGAGTTTTATTCGGGTGAAGACTGTAGCTTGTCTGACGGTGTCCTTGTGGTCTTTGAGCGAAGATAGGGAGTGTAGGTTGTTTCTACCGTCTACCGCAGTGCTACGAGCACGAAACGGCACCGACACGTTTAGCAATATACGCAATACCCAAGTAGTGAATGAGTACGCCCGTCGCCGCCAACTCTAGAGACCTGTAAATCGGACAGACAGCGGGCAACGTCATGGAAACGACTCAGCAGGAAGATGACTGAAAAAAAAAAAAAAAAAAAAACAAGAAGTACGAGTTGAAGTCCTGCTATGATTCAAAAATGTTAAGGGCTGTCCGCTGAGAAGGAAAAGAGAAAAGAAGTCCTTCGGGACATCCGTTAAAATTGGAATGATACAGAGAAGATGAGCATGGCCCCTGCGCAAGGATGACACGCATAAATCGAGAAATGGTCCAAATTAAAAAAAAAAAAAAGAAAAAAAAAAAGAGAAAAGAACAAGGCAGGTAAGCCACAGGGTTTATCCGCTGAGAAGGAAAAGATAGGAGAACAAGGCAGGTAAGCCACAGGGTTTGAACTCGTATCGGCCCCAGGTAAACAGTGAGCTACAGCTGTCCCTGTCCGGCAACAGATGAAGACGCCCCCCGGCAGCAAACGAGCAGACAAGAAACTGTGCTGAGGGTTAATCAACCATGGGGCGGCAGGGTGCTGAAACTCCAAGATTGCACCCGTGCAGAGGGGGCAAAACAAGAAATGGAAGGGGGCTACAACTTTATCGGGAGCTCAAGAGCAGAGTTCTTAGAGAGTTCTACCGGGAGTTCGACAGCAGAAGAAGGCGATGCTACCGGGCGTTTTGGAGCAGAAGACCGTACAGTGCTACCATCAGATGGTTTTCTAGATCGATAAATAAGGTGAACGAAAGCGCCACCTACAGCTAAGCAGATCACACCAACTGCCACAACGACGCCAACCACCACCCCGGCGCTGACACCTCTCCTAGGTGCAGTCTGGGCCGTTGCCGGCGGAGACCGTTGAGACCTGTCAGCCAAGCTACTGCTGACACGTGTATCACCGCCATTGTGTCCCGGCGAAGAGGATGATGCCGTTGCTGGAGAGGCATCAGTTGATTGCTCTGGCGATGATGACGATGATGATGATGCGGACGCTGATGATGATGATGATAATGATGATGATGATGATGATGATGATGATGATGATGATGATGATGATTCTGTCGAAGGTTCTGACGACGATGGCGATGGAGCGGATTCCGTTGATAGCGCTGGCGATGGCGATGATGATGATTCTGTCGAGGGTTCTGACGGCGATGGCGATGACGATGAATTATAGGCTGAGGTACTGGCTGTCAGCACTGCTGCTGGTGTCGGAAATGCACCGCTGCATTGCCCAAGAGCCTGCTTGTTGATTGGAAATTCGAACAGCTGCCCCGTCTGGATCGAGACGTACAAATGGCTGTCATCGTTATCTAAAGCAACGGTCCCGATAACGCACCCTCCTGGGAGGACGCATCTTGCCACCGTCTCCATCATAAGCACTTTGCCTCCGGGTTTATCGAAAGTCACCCGCCGGATATTTGTGGCCCAATCCGCGGCGAAGAATAGGCTACAGCCATCTTGGGTCAGCGCAAGATTCGCCTCCCAGGTATTGGCACCGACATAGAGCGAGTTATGCTGCCCCGCCTCGTATGTCCCAATTACCGAGTCCACGGATCCATTAATCAGGTTAAAACCTATAATCTCATGGTACATGTCATCCCTAGCGTATAGGTAGCTCCCATCTTGGAGAAAGCTTCGATAGCCGAAGGAGAGATAGCTGCCATCACGGCATGCTCTTGTTCTGAAATCGTTGACAAAGCTTTCAGGCGACTCGCCATCCATGACGGAGAACTCAAGGCATTGATTTCTGGCCACGTACAGAATCGTGCGGTTAGGATTGAATGCAGCGAATCTACACTGGAAGTCGGGGATCAGATAGGGATAGGTAGTTCCGGAACCATCCGTGGTGTTGATGAATGCCAGACCCCAACGAGTAGGCATCACGAGATTTCGCTCGTTCCGCGACAGATCGAACCCCGTGGAGTAAACAAGTCCGTCTTCTCTCCCCACTGTCCCCACGCTCCAAGCAGCAGCACTCGCCGCAGTGCCGTTCCGCTTTTCAGACGTCCACGAAAGAGTCAGCAGGGAGGAGTTGCCTTCTGCGTCCCCAGAGCTGGCAATACCTCGCAAATCACCCTTGCGCACAGACTTCGCCGAATCTCTGCGAGCACTCTCATCATGATCAGAAGTGTTCAGCGATCTATCTTCGCGCAAATAGAAGAGCATACCCCTCTGGGAGGTGAATACCACGCTCCTGACCCATGAAAGACACGAATTTGTACCGGATGGCGAACATGCAGAGTCAGTAGGGGTCAAAACCACGCGGAAATCTTGAAGAAGAGTCGTGCTTGTGATGTCGAAAGCAGGCGATGGGCCTCCCTCCGACGGGCCTGCCTCAAGCATTCTCTCTCCCCGCCTGTCGCCAATGTCATGATATCCACTCTCCGTTCCCGTAACGGRCTCCCCTCCTGTCTGCGCTGTCGAGCTCCCAGCTGCTCCTACTGCCGCTAGCACCCGCATTGGCATACTTATAATCATCATCATCATCATCATCATTACCATTATCACGGTGAGCATCGCCATCGGCCTCCATACGCAAAGAGAATGACTTCCTTGTAAGAGGCTTGGAAGGTCGGTGTTGAAGATGACAACGATTCACGATCGCAGAGTCGAAGACGTACAGAATTCGGACAATCGAGAAAGAGACACGTGGACCTCCGAGGACGTCTGAGCCAACTGCTTGGAGAGAGAGTGGCAACACAGAGAGGTGAGAGGGCGATGGACGTGCCCTGGTGACGTGTCTCTAGGCTATCCAGGCCGTAGCTGTTAGGAGTGAGGGAAATTCAAAAGAGAAAAAGAAAAAGAAAAAGAAAAAGAAAAAGAAAAAGAAAAAGAAAAATTAGTGAGAAAGAGAAAGAACAAGAAAAGCAAAAAGAAAAAGGACGCGTGTGGCGAGGGGACTCCGATAGGAGTGGAAAGTCCTATCGGATAGATCCGGAGCAGATCCGAATAGCAAAGTTATGAATTCTGTCCGGGCGATTCCTGTGTTGCGGATGCTCAGCGACTACTTCCTCCAACTAATTGGCCTTTTCTGGTCTATGACAAGGAATCGGCAGCCGAAGCGGCAAGTGACCACAGAGGGAGAAGATGTCCGACCCAAAGCGCTGGGGAAACAAGAAAGCAATCTCACACACGCGACACGGTCACGCAGAACGAAGGCGGTGTGTACACACACACAGAGAGAGAGAGAGAGAGAGAGAGAGAGAGAGAGAGAGAGAGAGAGAGAGAGAGAGAGAGAGGAGGAGGGGAGGGAGCGGGAAGGGGAGAGGGGAAGGGAGGGAGGGATTAATTATACCGTCGTAAGCGATGCAAGAAAAATGTAACAGTCGATTCCAGCAGCTGCTACCAGTAGGAGAGAAAAGATAACACATCAGTAATCTGGCGCCGGGAATGCAGAGAGGGTACACGGACTTGGCGCAGAAAGCGAGCTCACACACGCAGAGGGACGGCGGTGTGTG